TTTGGGGCTGCCTTCATATTCCAGATGGACTGCCATAATTTAGGATGAGGAGAGAACGAAGAGCTTGCCATCGGCTGAGCAGAGACCTCCTTGCAACCCAGAACATACCCAGACCTGACTGTGTAACTGCCTTTGCTTGTAGGCCACCAAATTCTTCTATCTTTCCTCTCGATCAGTGGCAAGGGGATTGACCTGATGGCCTTCAGCTCATCCCTTGATAACAAGCTTTCCATACATGCAGTGTTCCAACACTTGGGGAGAACAGAAATAGCATCAGCAACCTTAGAGATAGAACAAATCTGGGGCCTTGGGGATTAAATAGCCATATTGGGGAGCTGGGGAATCCACTTATCATTCCAAAAACAAACCTTCGACCCATCACCAATTTGCCACAAAAGCCCTTTATCGAGGAGTTCTCTGCCATAGAGCAAGTTGGTCCAAACCCAAGATGGACGGGCACCACGTTTTGCTTTCATCAGATCATTGTTTGGGAAATAAATTGCCTTCATAAATTTCGCCCAATATGAATCTGGTTGGTTCAAAAGTCTCCAACACTGTTTAGCCAAAAGGGCTTGATTAAACAACTTGAAATCTTTAAAACCCATCCCCCCAACGGATTTAGATTCAGTCATCTTCTCCCATTTTCTCCAGCAAATGTCTCTGCTCTCAACATTTCCTTTCCACCAAAAGTTCCTAACGTATGAATTAAATTTTGCACAAAAGCTTATGGGAAATTCTACAACAGACATGGGTCTAGTTGGGAATGGCCTGGACAATAGCTTTGATCAAAGTTTCCTTCCCAGCCTGTGACAGACAGCAGCTTCTCCATCCTTGTAAGCGCTTCACGACCCTCTCAAGAAGATATCCAAACACTTCATTTCTTGATCTTCCCCATGCCATAGGGATTCCCAAATATTTTGCACAATGGGGAGAGCTTGTATACCCAAACAGTGGCATAAAGAAACCTTTTGCTCCTCGACTATATTACTAGAGAAGATGATTCCAAATTTCTGGTAGTTGGCACATTGGCCCGACGCCGTACAATAAATTTGCAACATCCTCAGCAATTTCCCAACACCCCCATCACTAGCCTTGAGGAAGAATAAGGAGTCATCAGCAAAGAAGAGGCGTGAGATCATTGGACTTTTTCTCTTGATTTTGATTCCCACTAGTTTTTTGTCATTAACCCCATTCCAGAGCATCGCTGAGATAACATCAGCAACTAAAAAGAAAAGATAAAGGGAGAGGGGATCCCCCCCTGCCTGATTCCCCTTTGGGGCGTAACAATGCCAATTTCCTTTCCATTAAGCACAAATTGAAGGGTGACAGTACTGATGCATTGCATAATGAGGCTAACCCAACGTCGGTCAAAACCCAACTTTAACATTGTTGCTTCCAGGAAGTCCCATTCAACCCTATCATAAGCCTTATATCCATTTTAATGGCAATTTTAGGCACTTTCCCTTTTTTCTTTCCTTTCAAATGGTGGAACACTTCGTTGGCAATGGCAATACTATCCTGGATTTGTCTATTTGGGACAAAGGCAGTTTGGTTTGGGGAAATGATGGAACATAACATTCCTTTTAGTCTATTGGCCATAACTTTTGATATCACCTTGTACAAAAAGTTACACAGTGCAATTGGTCTGAACTGTTTAATGGTTTTAAGAGCGGCTTCTTTTGGGATAAGGACAACATTTGTAAAATTGATTTCCCTGTTCAGCTGACCTCCTTTAAAGAAATCTTTAACCATTTTAATAATATCATTACCCACCACATACCAAAATTTCTGGAAGAAGATACCTGGGAAACTATCTGGGCCAGGGGCTTTCAAGGCACCCAACTCCTTTGCAGCATGATAAACTTCCTGATCTTGAATTGGCTTTAACAAGGCATTGTTCATTGCCTCAGTGACTTTGACATGTACAGCCCCTATAGCCTTAGACCAGTCTCTTTCCCCCAGTGATCGAAACAGGTTCTGGAAATAATCAGTGATATGGGAGTTGATCTCCTCCTCCCCCTCAATCCATACAGTTTCGTCAGTCTTAAGTCGAAAGATTTGATTGCAATTTCTTCTTTGGATGGTAGACAAGTGGAAAAATTTGGTGTTTTGATCCCCATCTTTCAACCAATTGACCCTTAAACATTGCTGCTAGTACTTCTCTTCTCTGCATCTTACTGCATCTATCTGGGCACAAAGCTCTACTTCCTCAATAAGGTTTTCCTCTAAAGGCTCTATCATCTGAACACGAAGCAGTTCCTTGTTAAGCTTTCAAATCAAACTCTTATTATTACCAAACTTCTGTTTGTTCCATTCCAGCAGATGAGTTCTGCATGACTTGAGATTGCTGATGGTGTTGCAAGACATAGAGGTTGGATCCCTCACAGTCCAATTGCTTTTGATCACCTCTTCACACTCAAGATCCTCCAGTCACATACATTCAAATTTAAAGGAATGGGGGGCTTTTTTAGCATTTAAGCCAAGATTAATCACAATAGGACAGTGGTCAGACCCCATCCTAGTTTCATGCAGCACCGCAGTTGAGGGAAAGAGAGCACTCCAGTCTGAATTAACCAATACTCGATCAATCCGCTCTTGAACATTGGCTGCACTTGGCCTGTTGTTAGACCATGTAAATTTGGGTCCACTAAAGCACATCTCAATGAGGCAGCAATCAGAAAACAATTGTTGCAATTCTTCCACCCTCCTTATACTACTAACAACACCCCCTTCTTTATCATCCAGCGATCCAATATTATTGAAATCCCCTGCAACTAACTAGGGCAAGTCGATGGATTTTGCTATATTGGTTAGCCGCTCATATATCTTCTTCCTCCTTACAGCCAACGGATCTGCATAGACAAAGGTACAGTGCCAAAATTCCTGTCGATGTTTAAGTCTACCTCTTACATTGATCAGATTTTTGGATTTATTCAGAACTATCAGGTTGGTATCTTCCTTCCACCATAATGCAAGTCCGCAAGAAAGGTCCACAAGATCCACATACTCGAAACAGGAAAAGTTTAAGTTTTTTCTCAACCGCTTCAACTTATCAGACTTGTTTTTAGTCTCCATAAGAAAGACGATTGAGGGACGATGGGTGGTAATAAGCCCTCTTAGATTACGGACGTGAGCATCAACATGAATCGTGTGGCTGTTTAAGGTCAGCCACCACCACCTTATCAGCACGGCTAGTTTCATCACCCTCATCAAAGGTAATCTTAGAGGGTTGAGTAATCCACAAGGATATACATCTGTCCAGGTTATTCTCCCCTTTCCCTTCATTGAGACCATTATAGCCCTCAACCAAATCATGTTACATGTCTTCCTCTTCATTCTCAAGATAGGCAAACTGTGCTTCAGGGTGCATCAGCCCTTCGCCTCTCGCCTTTTCCTTGGGCTTACTTCTCCTAGCCCGTTTTCTTAGGGCATGCTTTCTTCGAAAACTCAAAAGGGACATATCAATAGCAAGTGGGGGGCCAGAAAAAGGTAGGGAAAGGTGAGGTGCACTTGGGCCACTGTCTGAAAATGCTTTTGGTTTTTTCCAAGGTATTGGGTGAGCTTCCATAGTCGCGTCATCCAGCTGGGTTTTCCTCTTAAGCGTCATACTTTGAAAGTGGGTCTCTATCTCAACATTCCTTTCTTCCTCCTCACTATCAGTGATTATGTGAATCACTTTTTCACTGATCTCCTAGGCTTCTAGGCTCTCTGTGGGCTCATAAACATAGTAGGATCCCTCTTGGTTGCTACAAGAATATTCGAATCTTCTTGGGACAAAGACAAAGAAAGGGATAAAAACAAATCCCAATCTTGGTCCCCACCAACATACGGTACTAGTGGGAGGGGTGGTGCATGGCATTGTGATTCGTTTTGCTATTCTAGACTGGTATTGGCCTCATTTTTGACAGGATTTCTCAGCGCATCATCTTCTCGGTTTATGGGTACCTCTGATGAATCTCCACTAACGTTCATGTTCCTTCTTGACCCCTCCACCTTCCTGGTTCAACCTCTCCATCAGCTTCCTGCATTTTACCTTTGAACTTGTCCTTCTTTTCCAAATTCTCGCGTTCTCTTAGGGACCAAGTTTCTCTGAAGAAACCCCCTAACTGAATGGATTACGCTCGTAGCTCTGGCCCGAAGTAGCTATTGGACCCAGACGTTCTCCTGTCCTTACAATGACTTTGAGAATGGCCAACCCGACCACATTGGTAGCAAAAATCGGACAGTCGCTCAAACTTCAGACTAATCCAAATATCATCTTGATTTTCCTGAGTCAGGAAAAAATCGTTTTTCAAAGGTTCATTCAAGTTGATCCTACACTTGACCCTCAGAAAATTCTGCTGGATTTGAACTTCCCCTTCAAAATCCTTGAGTTGGGTGGGCTCGCCAATAATCATTCCCACCCTCCAAGCATTATTTTTTGTCATCATATCGAGGGGTAAGCCCCAGATCTGTACCCATATCTGTACCCAAAACTTGATTGAGTGAAAATTGAAATCTCCCATGATAAACTGTGGTTGATATACCTTCAGAACCAACAATGCTCCTGAAACGGACCATGGACGTTCATTTAAAATCTTATTTCTATCATCCTCATCTTTGAACATAAACATGTAGGTATTTCTTTCCCAATAGGTGATGGAAAAACCTTCGGAAGTCTTCCAAGAGCTCTGCAACACATTACAAGCCCCTTGCTTATTTAGGGTAGAATCTATGAAAAACCGACCCACTAGGCAGAATTTACCTATCGTCTTTGAGGTAAAGGGGTCAAAATAGAGAGAGATTCGTGGTTGATGGGAGGAATGGGAGTCAACTTCGAGATCCTTCTCCATATGTAGGAAATAGATAATAAGAGCTATAGGAAAGATGAAGAGATAGGGAAAATAGAGACAGAAATAGGGTGAGAGGAGGTACAAAGAGGGGATTGAGGGTTTGGTAATTTTGGGGGTTTGGGTGTTTGGGTCTATAACAAGGGTAACACGAGAGAGGGTAGAACAACAATGGCGAAGAGCAGACAAAGACAAGGGAGAGATACGTATGAGGAAAACGTTATGGTGATGGGTAATACAGTAATGGTAAGGAAATGGGGCAAACAGAGAATGGGAAAAAAGATAGAAGGACGGTGAGGTATAAACGTCACAAGACACTTATCGATGGGAGCCACCTCTTCGGGAAAGCAAACGTCGTTTTGGAAAGAACCTAGGGAGGCCTTGGGTGAAGTGATAAATACGGATATAGCGTAGAGCTATAAGGTATGGACTATTCCAGTCTAGGAAGAGTGTATAGGGATTAGAAAGGTTGAAAACATGGAAAAGGGGGAAGTAGTGTTGAGAAGACGAAGAGATCCGCCTCATGAAAAGAGAAATGAGAATAAAATCTCAAAAAAACCCTAACCAAAGGAGAGAACTCTCATACCGAAAGAGATTTGAGAGAGAGTTAAATAACAATAAATTGATGTCACATGCTTGCCACCCAATTAATTCCACATGCACTAATGTACATAAAATAATAAAGTCATATCTCATATCAACATTCTTATTTAACTTTTCACACTTGAATAAAATAATTCCCTCTATAATCATTATTTATAAATTATCTCTGAATATTAAAATATTTATTGTTCAAGTTCAGGTCTCATATCATTACTCATAATTAAATACTAGTTGTCAATTTTACGGATGCATGTCACATGTGAATATGCTTATTAAAAATACTATATGTTTATCATGCATGCTCGGGTCTTAAAATTTTTCTCTCTTTAGGAATTTCGTTCCCAAAATTTTACATACTAATCTTAAACAAGTAAAGATATTTCTTCTTTGTATTTTGAATTATTTCAATTTTAAATCTTATGACTAAAATAAATACTCGCATCTAAACCCCAAACACAAAATAAAATGCCTAATTAGTTTTCTCAGGTCCCACAGATAAATTTAATAATTGATCAATTGAACATGTTTATTGGATTAATATCTATTTATACAAGATAACACCAAGTTGGAGGGGGAAAAAGGTTTCGCACTAGGCGGAAATTACTTCAACTAGTTTCAAACACTTAATTTTAAATTGTGTCATCAAATTACTAAATAATATTATTCCATTAATATTAAAATCATTGCATGAAAAATTTTGACACAAATACTTAATTTTGAATATTTAGCAAATAAGGTATATACGATAAAATTAATTGCAGCTATTTAACAAACAAGGTATATTGTTAATATACGAATTTAACAAATACTAATAATATACAACAATAAAAGAAAAAAGGAAAAAAAAGGGGAGAGGGTTAAAACAGTCGGTCGTTTCTCACTTCTCAATAGAATGCACAAGAGAGAGAAGATCTTAGACTCACCTACAAGGCTCTCCCCATCCAGATCTACAAATTTGGGAGAAAGAGGGTGCAATCTCAGATCTGTAGATCAGAGCGAGAAAGAGACTTGATAAAGATCCTATATCACAATAATACCCCCAGAAAATCTGCATGAAGGTAGAAAAACTCAATCCTTAAATCTAGAATCCTAATTTGCGTAACCAAAGCCTCATCTACCATCTCTAGGTTTATCTCCTTGCACATAAGTAAATCTAGAGAAACTCTTAGAATCACCTCCTTAATCATTCTCCTTTTCATCCAACTCCTCAACCCTTTCACATTTCAACTAATCAACTTCATCTGGAACCTCTATAACCCCCTCCCCTTCTCTCACCCCCCTATCATAACTAATCTCACATTATAGATTCTTTAACTCTCTCTCACCTTTCTTCCTTCTCCTATTATACATTATAGGCGACACTTCTACTCTAATTTCCTGCCCAGTTAGACTAACCATCTTCAGGTCCATTTTTTCAAAAGGGTTTGTTTCACTTGTTTTTCTCCCTCATTCCATAGCTGGTCCACAATTACTTGGTTACCCACAAAACCTGTCCCCTCTTGGCATAAAGGTAATTTCATTTCTGTCATACCCCCTAGGTCTGAGTAAAAGTCTTGAACCAGAACACATGCTTCTCACAAAGTCCCTGCATTTTCTTTTTCGGAAAATATATTAGTGGGAAAGGAAGTAGGTATAGATGAAAATATTGGCGAATCAAAGTGACAATCAATTGGAAATAAAGAAGGAACACAACTCTCAGACCCTAGCTTTTGCGTAATCGTTGTCACAACTTATCGCAATCAGAGGCACCATTAAAGCATTCTCACTTTTACCATTCTTACTGGCACTTTCCACAATCCTTTTGTCATTCTCCTTATCAAATATTCCCACACCTACCACTTCCATTGCTGATGATTCTGACACATAGGAAACATCATCATATTCTCGCAGCTCCTCTATCAACAAATCAACTTCAATCAAGATACAATAGAATTCCTTCTAAACTCCAATCTTGTAAATTCAAAATCCTCATTGCTTCCTTCTCCGATTGAAAAACAAACATGAATAGTGAATTGGCCATTGGAACTACTTGTAGACCAACTGACCCCAATTTTTTATTTGCCCATCTACTTACTTTTCAATCCCTGGTGGCTGTGAATTGAGAACACCAAATCTTCCCACCAAACTTATACACTGATCCTCACACCTCAACTTACAAGATTCGGTATCCACATTAAACACCCCATTTTTATCCACAGAAACAGAAGAAGGTACTGTAAACCTCCCTCCAATTTTTGCAGCTTCCAAGTGCGTTTTCTTCATGCCTCCCTTGATTGTTCCAGCAGCTGCCGAATAATCTGTACATCACTCAGCCGGATGCTATTTTGAAATCATTATTTAGTCTGCAAAATTTCATCAAACAAAATTTTGATCCTTGCTTAGAAGTAAAGTATTAAGTAATCATTTTCCTCTCTGAAAGAATTGCATTGAAATGCTTTTTTCATTGAGTTGCCCATTTTGAGTTGAATTTACTCAGCCTAATCATGTTTGTTCCATATGGTTTCAATTATTATAATATTTTGACATATTTGAAATTCTTGTTAACTGCAGATAACAACCTTTAACATCTCTTTAATTGTACATGGAACAGTAGCTGAAGATAAAGATTTTCAGAAGGTACTGTGTGATTACTTGCTGGCCATTATGCCCATGTTTTTATTTAACAATAACAGAGTGCCAAGAGGTTTTGCAGGACACTGACATATAATTCATCCTACAGGAGAAGCGCGACCCATATGCTGTTCCAAACGGTATGGGTATACTTAAACTGCTGGAAAGCCCTCTGGATATTACAACTAGCACTATAATAAAGAGAATTGTTGCAAATCATGAGGCTTATCAGGTTAGTCTACCTCTCAAATATAGTATCCTATTCCTTGAGCGAATCAATGGAGAAGCTCAACAATAGGCATGTTGAAAATGACATCTGCCATGAATTTTTCTGTCTTGTGGAAGCTGGGTCCATGCTGCCCAACTCATTTAGAAATCCATCTTCTATGTCATAAACTCATGATATACAATGATCGGTGTGTAAATTGACTTAGTTCAGGATTTGGGTTTGTTTGGCTTGTTTTTGTATATGACACACACCGTCTACCTAACATGTGGAATGGATCTATCTGTCGTGTATGTTTTTGTCTGCAGAAACGCAATGAGAGGAAGGCAGAAAGTGAGAAAAGGTATTATGAGGATAAGACTTATGTGTCCGGCGACTAATTGATTTCAAGAGATTAGGGTAAGTAGTCTATTGAATGTGTTTACCTTCTTGGTTTTGAAACCGGGATGAATGAATCGCTTTCTTGTGTCACTGTCCATTGCAGATGACGGTGGGTGAATGCACGCCGTTCTGAGATCCAATTTTGGGGACTACCTGTAGTTGTGGAGCTTGCTTTGATAATGCGATAACTGTATTTGTATTCTTTTGGACTCCTTTGGTGGAGTCGCATTTAAACACGATAAGCAACATTTCGTCTCTTTGCGGCTATAGTTTACTGCAGGCACGTATGCAATATATTATCTGTTCTCTATTTACTTGTTCTGCAGTACGCTTTTCTTGGGGAAGAAGAAAATAAATTAAATTAAAAGTAGACATCCATCCCATGAATGAGTTGCAATCTCTCTTTTCTTGTTTCTTAGCATAACTGAAAATTGGAAGGATACTTGTTGCTTATTACGTAGGTGTCCTCTGTGCACCTTGTTTGGGCTTGACGTATGATTTATTTCCTGCAAGAGCAGGCGGTCTCTGTAGCAAGACATAAAAGGGTGAACTATCGTTGTAGACTGGTTGTACAAGTGCACTTAAATATGGTGTCTGTATTCCGAACAATTTTTTTTTTTTTATTTCAAAAAAAGAATCCTATGAATTGATTCTTCAGAAACCAATGACTATGCAATACTGAGATGGAATTTACTTTTAGGTGAGGCACGAATAGTCAACGATAGCACTAGGAAAGTAGATAACTTTTGACAGATTCTAATCAACTTGATAATTACATTATTAATGTGCCTTATCACAATGAGTTTCCAAACCTAAATAGGGATAGGTGTTCTTGCTCGAAAATTCATAACACTAGAAAAAGACATTGTATGTCTGTTATTTTAACACTAGAAAAAGACATGGTGATGCCATTGATAATAAAATTATTGTCCAATGCTTTCAAAGCAAGAAAAATTCATCATGATCAATTAGAAATGGAAAATACTATGTAACTTAAAATTGTAACCCAAATTTGCATCACAAATGAAAGATGATCATTGGAAGAATGAGTTCTATCAACTTTTTTAAATGAGATTCACTGATCTAATAATCTCCCTTCATTTGAGATGCAAATTTGAGTTGTAAATTTAGATTACATAGCATTGTTCATTATAAATAACCATAATTAACCTTATTTTTGTAAAAGCTTATAATTAATATCTTTTTTGTCATATATTTACTTATAAACATTGTGTATGTTGATTTTTAGCCCCTTTGTTTTTAATGACTGTTTGAGCAAAGTTTTAATGACTGTTGAAGTATCACATTTTCACTTAAATGAATAAAAAATATCACTTCTCTCTCTTCGATGAAGAAAAAATAATTAAAATTTGTTAAAATGTGGGGGTGAGTTGGGAAGGACCATGATCTGCAAACCCCGTGGAATCCTAAAACCAGCCATTGGAAAATGAACGCCCACGGTTTGCCAGCTCTAACGAAAAACACTGAACAATGCGATAATTTCAGGTGAACATGCATCTAAGTGTCAGTTTACGTTATTCAAATGTGTATAATCTTCCAGTTCCAAAAACAAATGAGTATAATCTTCTTCGGAAAGGATAATGAGAGGACGTGGAAACGAATTAAAGAGAGAGAACCGAATAATCCTTATTGTACAGTTATTGTTGAGTTGAAATGAATAATATATTATATTTGATGATTTTAAAAATTAGCTAAGGTTAAGTTCGGACCACTCAGCTTAGACATCTAACCTCAAACTCCGCTGCTCACGACCACTAGCCCGGGGTTCGCAAGTTGGGAATCTTCAGTAACGAATCCCTCATGCACTCGATGACAACAACAATTGGCATCTTTCAAAAGACCACGTCACGCCTAAGGAATGTAACCATAACTGCTAAATATTCTGGCACATGGATCGCAAAATCAATGAAAAGCACATTGATTGCGCTAGGAGGGTGTTGATTACAGGAGAATCGCAAAGATCATGCAAGGCAATCACAAAAGACAATTGTATACTATAAATAGAAAACAAATCCCTTGCATTTGTAATCAAGAAATCATTTGTGAACCTACTCTGTGTAATCTCTTTCCCCCAATTAATAGAAAGTTCTTCATAAGCATGAGATTTCATTAGAATGAACTAGCCAAACTTCCAAGTGGGGAACCACTATAAACTCTCTGTCTATTCATTTTATGTCTAATTGAATCAATAACCTAACCCCCAAGCGCCTAGAAGCTCTGATTGGACATTCTAGCGATCCTCAAATCCCTAAGTAGTTCGCCTTTGCTCAGCTGTGCAGAACATTCCATCAATTGGCACCGTCTGTGTTAAATGATTGTTTTCGATTCCTGTTAAAATTCTACTGGTCCATTTAGTAATTGATGGTCTTTACACGCAACATAAACAAAAATCAGGCGAATCCCTTGCGTTTACAGAACCAGCAGGAAACCACCATTGGGGGACAACAGAGAATTCTCTTGAATCCTCCACCAAACCCAGAAGTTAATTCGTCAATGGTAGATCCTCCTCTAAACAACGAACTCGAGGCTTTGCGTCAGGCCAACAATCGTCTTTGAAGATCTGTTAAATCTCATTTGTGCCCAACATCCCCAGGTGACACAACCAACCCAAGACGATCCCCCATGAAAGGAACATCATCATCAGAATCCCTTAAGGGAGATTATGAAAGAAAATGAGCACAGTTATTCAGTTGACAACATTCGCCGCCAAGCCTAGAAAAATGGGGAGAAAAAAGAGGTCCAAAATCAAAACAGAGGAGTTCCTAGAAACGAACTCCTCCCATATCCTCTCCAACAAGATGGGAGGGATCAATTCTAGGAACGATGTTTCAAAGAAATCTAACATGGGCTCAACCACATGAAGGAGGCGGTGAAGAGCAAAACCCTAATGACCATGGATGCTCTGATTCAGTAAACAAAGTCTCCATTCACCCCTTGAGATCCTACACTTCCCTTTTCCCCAAAAATTTAGGATACCCCAAATCGAGATTTTCGATGGGACAAAGGATCACATAGACCACCTAAATACCTACAAAAATCATATGGAACTGCATGAATACCACGATCTAGTGCATTGCCGAGCCTTCGTTATCACTCTGAAGGGCTCAACCTTGGCTTGGTTGAATAGGTTTGCTCCAACATCGATTTCCTCTTTCATAGGAGCTCGAACCTATCGAAAGTTGTGTTGTCACCTGCTAAACGTGAAGTAGGGGCCAAACGAGTCGTTGTTGAGTTATGCCCAAAGGTTTAACTCGGAGTCCCTAAAAGTGGACATCCTCGACGAGAAGTTTGCCCTCATAGCCTTTACTGTCGGGCTGAGAATACAATCGAAAAATCTGATGTTCTTAATTGCCAAGAATCTTCAAGCCCATATGGCTGAGATGCTGGCAAAAGTAAAGAAATCTATCAACGGCGAGGAGGTTCTCCTCTCAAAAGATAAAAACTCCATAGCTCATAGGGAGAAGGAGAAGACATCAAAGTCCTAGGAAGCATGAGCTAAGAATGATCTCCAAGGAGAGATATCGATCATTCCCCAAAAAAGAAAGGTGGCATCAAAGACCGCTTAGATCCCCCACCTCAGGAGCTACAACCAAAGTATGCTCTACGATAATTAACAACCCTCAACACTGTGTTATCACAAGTGCTTTACGAGGTCCAGAACAAGAAGTTCTTGAGGTGGCCACTTTGGATGAAGGCAGCTCCTAGTAAGCGAGATGTCATGAAGTACTGTGAGTATCACTGAAATCACAACCATTATACCCATGATTGTATTTAGCCACTTTATAGCGCAAGGCGATCAGAATCTAGCTAACCCACCTCCTACACCACAGTCGTAAGTGCACCTCAGCATCAATAACCCATGGGTGAAATCGGGGTTATCTCTAGAGGATTCGATGGGGGTAGAGAGATGAGCTTAGTAAGAAAAGCCCACATGAGGAGAACCCAAGCTGAAGATGTATTGGAAATCCAGTCCATGTTTAAGTTACTCTGACTAAGCATGAACATCACGTTCTCAGACTCAAATCTAGAAGGCTGCTAGTACCCTCAAGACGATCTCTTGGTTGTAAAAGTCATAATCACCAATAAAACAATCCACAGAATACTTATTGACAATGAAAACTTGGTCGATATCATCTTTGCGTCAACCTTTGACAAGATGGTCATCGACAAAGACAAGCTGGAGCCAGTAAGGACCATTCGCTCAGATTCTCAGGGGAAAGAGTACTCCCTTGGGCTCCATTCAACTTATTCGTACGATGGGAGACCCCTATGCCAGTCAACGACTACCGTACGTTTCCTAATTGTGGATGTCGCTTCAACCTACAATGTTATCTTAGGGAGACCATCTCTTAATGCTATACGAGCTATCCCTTCAGCCTGTCATCTGGTGATGAAGTTTCCAATAGAGAATGGAGTAGGAATGGTCCGAGGAGAGCAACGCATAGCAAAGGGAGTGCTACATGGCATCGATGAAGTAGAAGGAGGTCAAAACCATACAATTAGACAAGCTCCACATGAAGGACAAGTTGGAGATGAGGCCCACACCTTCAGAAGAACTAGAGCCTATAAAACAAAAATAAGGTTGAGGTCAAACATCATACAATTCAAGATTGCTCAAAGAGGTCAAACACCTCCTCATCTAATTTTCAAAGGCAAATATCAAGGTGTTCGCTTGAAGACAAGAAGACGTGTAGGGATAGACCCATCAGTCATTTTGCATAAGCTCTGCCTTGATCCAAACTTCAAGCCCATAAAACAGAAATGAATGAGCTTTGCCCTAGAGTGCCAGAAAACCATAAACTAAGAGGTCTTTAAGCTCTTCTATGCCAAAGCCATCAGTGAGGTAGATTATCTGATTTCACCGATCTAATGGCAAATGGCGCCTCTGCATCAACTTCATCGACCTAAACCGCGCCTGCCCCAAAGACAACTTCCCACTCTCTAAGATTGAATTCATCATGGATGCCACGACAGGACA